TGTCAAGAACCAGTTGGATTTGCATCACTGATTCCTTGAAAGGCCTTTTCTTTCTCTCTTATTCTTTGTTCTGTCATTCTTCTCCAATTCATCTATGCTTGGGCAAAGCTCAGCAGATTACACCCTGAATACATTTCTTCACATTCCTGTGTTCTGGGAATGCTCAGGGAGTGATTTGTGATACTTTGGCTCCAATCTAGACCACTGACATTTTGTTGATTCCAAGTCTACCAGGTGGATGCTCACCAAGAGGTCATCCTGAGATTGCACATATAGCTGTTCAGCTTCTATGAGGCTTCTTCTGTATTAGACTTGAGGCCATTTTCATTTGGATCTGGTAGAGGATGCAAGTGATCAAGACTTACAAGTATCCCTCTTCATGAAAATTGTGTTATGACAAAAAAAACCTTTGTGCCATGACTGCAACCCATTATCAATGTTCTTTGCTGAAGATAAAAATCCATCACAAGTCAACTTTTTCAGCCAAATAAAACTAACATCCACTTATCATTTTACGGGAGTTGCACCTGAAATAGTTACAAATTCTACACATATTGACAGTAAACATCTTTTGGCACCTTTGTCAGATTTCTCTTCTGCTTTTTCTTGATTCTTTGCAGCAGCCTCTGCAGCAGCCGCAGCCTCAGCAGCAGCTGCTTCCTTCAGATCATCATCTAAATCATCTTGAACATCATCAGTGTGTACAAACAGTGAAACTGATAAGCTGTTGTCCTTGGAAGCCTCCAACTCTGACGTGTCCATAGCTGTGACAGTGTCATCTTTAGCCTGCTCACTTGAATCTTCTACACTTATTTCTGCCACCGATGTCTCCATTGGTTCTTCAGCCTCAGCCGACTCTTGAGTATCTTCTGCTTTGGTGTCTGATGTAAAGAGACCGAATTAACATTTCAACCTTGCCATGCTTCGGAAATCGTCAACCAAACAGGTATGATCTACAATGCTTTTATATTACAGTCACACTAAACAGGGGTAGACACTAACAACCAGCAAAGTATTGTGCTCAGACAAGCCAAGTAAATTAGAACATAAATACACATTTCCATGAATTGCAGTGGCTT